ACATCCCCCTCCAAGTAGCTTTTTGCTTTGCAAATATCAATGCACAAGTCTGTTCTAGTGCTACTTGGGTCCAACATGCCTCTTATCATCTGTATGGGGGTATGCTGAAAGAATTTATTCAAGAACTGCAGGTAAGATAAATTCTCTAAGTATCTTACTAGCCTTGAATGATGTTTGATAGATACTGATTGGATTGATTATTTACAAGGGGATCTCCAGGAAATTCTGTCTCATAAAAATCTAGGGACTATGGACATCCAAGAGAAAAAAACATGTGTTCATTGGTGTTTCTGTTACATACATCAATCCAGACTGGAAGTTTTGCTGCCAACACCTGAAATTTAAGCTTGAGGATAGCATCACTATGGTGCTCCTCTGGCTCACCCATTTGTGTGCTTTTGACTCAACCAATTGTGTACTTTCTCATCAAACACAGGTTACATAAGAAGATAAGTAGTCTAATATTTCATCTTTGATTTCCTTCCTTGTTTGGCACTGTCTCTTGGTATTTCTTTATATACCTGTTGGCTCAGACCACCAACTCAGGTTCAAACAACAATATAATGGATCAATGACTGGCCAAGAACTCTGCTCATGCAAAGGATCCAGCTTCATGGAACCCAAAATCCATGCACACCATTGTGACGCTCACAAGCTGTCACTCGTGGTGAAAGCAGGACTTGCTCACATGGATTTATTGGTAGGACACATCAAGCTGTCCTCTCTACCAGGAGTAGAAATCCCTTTGATTATGTTGAACAATGGAGAATCAAATGTTGATATGTGGGCCAATTCTGAAGACTCTTATTGTGCTGGACACATCTAGTATCAAAAGGATACCAAAAATGGAGACCGTCTCTCTGGAGGGCTGATGGACCACCCAAACCCAAAGAAGATCAATCATAGCAACCATTGATCTGTACTTCTGGGGTACTCACCAGAGTATAGAAGCCTGACAATTTTTGGTTGGCTGTGAAAGAAGTAGTTGCATACATTCCTCTCATTCAAACAAACAAGTATGTACTGATTTTTATCATTTTCTTTTGATTTGACAAGGCAATACAATGAATCTCTTCTAGTAGCCCTTGAAGTGACTAATTCAAGGCAATTATGGGTGGAGGTAAAGGTAGCATTGCTGGTAGTTGTAGTCAATGAAATGGTAAGCATGGAGCACACAAACATGCCTGTGATGGTCAAAAGGTAAGTGTTTCTACTCCATCAACAATATCATATTGTAACCTTGTGTGCTGATACAAATAAAAATCTCATCAGGCAATCATTCAGATAATTGCCAAAAATTCCAAAGGACTCTTCTACAGAGAACTTTGCATAACTGGAAATGATTGGGCATTGGTCAAGGTGTTGAACAATGTTACAGAGGTAAGTCATTTGATTTGTCAGTTGTATCAGTTGTATCTGACATCAAACATTAAAATAAATCATGAAATATTGTTTTACAGCGAAATCTGCACATAGAAGGTGATAAGACAACCACAGGTATCATATTTATAGAGTAACAGCTTATCAAGGAATCTCTATTGGCTAAAGCAGGCAGCTCACCTTACAAAAGTATCAAAGACATGATTGGAGTCATGCTCAAGAAGCTTGATGGCTATAAAAAAGAGGTATTCAATTGTGATGTGGTTATTCTATCAAATATCCTAAACCCATCATCACAACTAGGTGTCTTTACAAAGTGCTTTATGGACAAAGTTCCCTGTGTGGAGGCTTTATGTAAATCAGTATCTGAAGTTGTCAAATCTGATGTCCAAACTGACCAAGAGCCACAGCTTGAATATTTGTCTCCAAAAGATCAGTCATCTTCTCACCCATTGTACAACTCATTGAAATTCAACCCAAAGACTCATGCACAGAATACCAACAAGACCAAGATCCAAAGGTATGCAGACATGGATCCAGGTGTTATATTGGAGGGTAAGATAGTGCCAAGTCGCTCAGATGTCCCTAGGGCAAAAAAACACAAGTTATACACCTTGTACAATTCCCAGTAGCACGTCAATGTGCACACACAAAGGGATTTGAAAAAACCAACAAAGAAAGGTTTCTGCAGTTTTGTTGGATTTCAGTGACAATCTCAGCACCCCTTTGTTGACCTTGCCTTCTGAGCACCTGGACAAAGGAATCAGTCTTTAGATGCAAAGACCTCTTCAAAGCATCTATCATCCCTCTATGAATTGTTTTTGGTGTGTGCACATTGATGTGCTACCAGAAAACTTACACAGTGATATAGTGGAGCAGAGCACTTGAATTCATAGTTTTTGTGCACTACACTACCAAATATAGGGAATAAAGTGGAGCGGCTCAGCGTAGCATCTCACATCACTAGTCAAGCTACCCCCCACACACAAAATTGCTTACAAAGGGAAAAAAGAGGTCATCTTTTTGTGGGATGCCCCATTGTATTTAACACAGTTGATGAGCCAAAATGTATCATTTTGGCCCTATTTCTGCATGATCTTGTGTTTCGGCTCAGAAAATGCATTAAATGTAATCAGTATCCTCATGGGAAAATACATCTTTGTTTCCTGTGTTATGCCATTCAGTTGTGATGACAGTAAATTTTACGCTGAGGTATGTCCCACACTGTACAACAACATCCTTGAAATTATGGTACTCCCATACCGTCAGGTCTCAATAGAGCAATGTGGTTGCAGTGAAAATTATGATCACACCACAACTTGACCACAGTCACTGCAACAAAACCTGTATCTGCTACATTAGGGGTTCTCAAAGTTGGCCCGGTTTCAAGAAAATCCAGTTGACCCGGTTGCTTTTTGGCAGTAACCTTGTGTATTGAGTTGTCTTTTTTTGACAGATCACAGCCAAAAAGTCAACTGGGTCAACCGGGTTTTTACAAACCGGGTCTACTTTGAGAACCCCTATTGACAACAGGGACATACCAAATTCTGTAATATCTGCAGCCTTTTTTGGTTTTTTGGTGCACCACACACCATGTCATCCTTGTTTTTCATTGAAAGGGGTCTCAACATCCCAAATTGGTAATTTTCCCCTGAATAGTGGAAGCAATTGTTGGCTAAAAAATGAAGAGTCTATAAAGTCACTACCCGCTCTTTCTCTAAATATCTTCATTCATCTCCATATCTTCATTCTGAAAATTTTTCAGCCTTCTACTAGTAGTAGTACCAATACTCACCCATTTTTATTATTATTATTATCTTGTGCTCCTGTCAACATTACCTTTACAATGGATGGTCCTGGAATCCCAGCTGGCTAGATTTGCTTTTTCCTGTCATTTTTTTATCCAGAAGTATTTCTATCAAAAGATATTGTCCTGATCTTGAGAGATTCTGGTTCAATTTCTGGAATTTCTGGCTTTCTTTTCCAGATGGGCTGAGATCATTCTGGTGTGTGAATCAACATCAATAATCTGTTCAGTTTTCACTACATTGGTTTTACGTAATTGATACCTTTCTGATCTACCTTCCAATACAAGTGTATATATCTGTCATTTTATTGGTCAAGACTGCAACAATGTCTGGATCCCTGGCATCAAAATTAGTGATTTGGGGTTTCATCACCTCAAAATAATAAAAGTTTTTTGTTTCATAATTCATTCTTGTAAGATGATATGGGTGCATCTCTGAAAGCATTTTATGCAATAATTCTAAACACAGAAATACCCAGCTCAGAACTGGGTTACATGATGAAAATCTAGTGAAAGGTAATTCCACTTTACTGACCATTTTCAGCAGCTCTTGGTAATGGAAGGTTTTCATCTGAATATTCTTCAGTAATCTTGTTAAGATCTGGGCATTGGAATTTGTGATGTTATTGAATTGATGCAGTTCCTTCTTGCAATGAATAGTCAATGTGTCCACCAAATATGTCCTGGTAATTGTGATTTCTGAAAAGAACATGTCCAATTGCCCAGAGTATGAGCCACAACTTTAGAGGAAACAAAGACTTAGAGAACATGACCCATGATTCTTTGACTGGGAAATAGTCTTCAGGAGAAGGAGAGAGAAAATTTCAATATCTGGATCAATGTGTTCAATAATTTGGACAGTCCTATCAACTATGTTGAGTCATTGGCAATGGTGAGTTTTGCCTCACAAGTTTACATAAGCCCAACTCTTATGTGCCAAAAGTTGTGAACCATGGAGATCAATATTGATTTGACTGCTTGTTAATCACATCCTGGAACAATTGAACACTTAGAAATTATTGATACAAAGTCTTCTACCAGTGCAATGAATCAATACATGATGTTAAATTGTGTTCTGGTAAATGAACTGCTCCAAGTTGAGTGTTGCCACAGTTGGCAACTATAATTACCCAAATTCAGTTTGCCACTGTTCAAAACTGGACTGAACAGAATTGCATTGCATTTTTTTGTTGTTTTCCATGTCACACAACACTGGTGACTTCAATATAACAAGAAGGTGATGATTCCTTGTGCTCTCCTTCATATGTATAAACATAACCTTAATGCTGGAAAAGCATCATGGGGAGCTTTGATATTTGGTTTGAGTTTTGCCAGCAACAAGATATGCATGGGGCAGTGCAATTTCAAATACCCAGCTGCAAGGCAGTGGCAAATGCCAAACTTTTCACAATGCCATGTATCTCTGGTATTTGCCCTGGTCATTCAAATACCTGAGGCCATATCAGTATTTTGGGGCACAAAACCCTCCTGCAAATGAGATTTTGTTGTCAATCTCCTGAAGTAATGCTTCAAGCCTTCTGTTTGGCTCTTGGCTCACACCTACAAAAATGTGTTACACCAAGAGCACTTGCAGACTTCTCTACAGGGAAAACACTCAGCACAGGTTTCATGTTTCTTGCATTCAGAGCTGGTGTCTGAAAGCTGAGTGTTGGCTTCACAAGAACAAAAGACCCTAGAAAAGGTTATCTCTTGCTGTGAGTAGCCATGCATATATTGTTTGTGTCCCACTAGACTCCCAAAAATAATGGTCATGAAGGTGCATGTACAAAAAATCCCTGTATCAAAAGAAAGGTCAATGTACAATAGCCCATAAAAAGCTCATCCAGCTAGCAAGAATAAGCATTAGTGCCAAAGTGAGACCAATATGACCGCGTAAGACCGTTCCACGTGATGGCCTTGTTTCAAGACTGTGGTGATTTGTAGATGTGAGAAAGTGTAGACCAGCAAAGAGAATGGCCAATAGGAACTCAATCGAGTTAAGGAAGATGAAAAACTTGACAAGTCGAACCATTAGGACAGTCCGATCCTCGGACTTGTGGCTCAGAATTGCTCCTGCCATCTAAGGAAGGTTCAGATGTGATGAATAGGCAGGGGATGGATCAAGGAAAGATTAGTTATTTGGGGATGAGGGAAATTTGAACAATGTAGCAGGATGAGGACTCAGCACAGTTTGAGATACAGTTGAGCCAGCCATCTCAATAGCCTTATGGATCCCCAAAGCTGTACTAAAATGTCTGAGAAAAATTCACACAACATTATCAAAGATGTTTGCGAGGTTTTAAGAAGCCTACACATTACATCGTATTCGAAGATGATTGAACGAACTCATTCTTGATGATTTTCGGTAGAACAGCTACAAGGAGAAGGGGAGCAGAGCCTCGCCCGATTGAAAACCAGATCATTGCGCCTACCTGCCCAAATGTTTCCCTCATCTTTGAGGTAGCAAGAATTAGAAGTGTCGCTAGCGTGCAGAGAGACCCCAGCCACAGAAGGACCGACGGTGAGGTGTAGCGAGGATAGTGGTCCAGGAAGTAGCCTAGTGTAGGATAAATCTGTACGAGATTAGGCTATCAGGTAAGGTGTCTCTCCTGGTACGGCAGTAGGATAAGGAATAAGTCGCATACGAATAAAGGTGTAAAAAGTAGCAGCGAAGAAACCCTTGAAGCTTCCTTTGCTGAGGAGCCAAAGAGTGTAGATAAGATGTCACTGAGATTAAGGAACAAAACAAGATAAAGATCAAACTTGGCATCTGTCCGTACCGGATAGCGGTAGATCCCATCACTGCCTTTTATCCTTAGGAGAGAAGGAGAAGGTGCGCACGTTGACAAATGTATGAAGGGGAACCATAGTGCCCCACACAGCGCACAGAGTGAGATATAGAGCCAAAACTGGTCTCCGAAAGATATGATTTCTTTCAATCTTACTATTGATCTGGGCGAAGGAAGAGGTGCCCGGGTCCGCGAGGCATGCGATATCTGAGCAAATGTTATGGCTGATAGAACCGAGCCCAGACAAAGTCCCAATGAAACGGCAAAAGGTAAACTCAGACCCCATTTAGAGCTAGATAATGGGACTGCAATGATGGAAGCTACCCAAGAAGCCTATGTATGATTTTGAAGACAAGAGGAATCAGCCAACACGTGTATCCGGGCCCAAACTGCCAATGGCCATGGCAAGGAGCAAAAATGATGCGTGTGGGTTCCAATCACCCATACAAGTTTGGGGAAGCAAACTCAAAGTACAATGACGCACCAATTTACCAAGTAATAAACTCAGTCCCATTGATTTTCCCCTTATACCCTTGCCGAAATGAGCAAGAATAATGGATTCTTGAACAATAGCTACAGGGCTGATACCAAGGCCAGTGACAAAGTATCCCAAAAGCATCCCACTGGATAATTCTTGAAGGGCCGATAGACAGACAATCAGTTGGCCCAGTGCAATGACCGAAGTACATAGCAATGCGGATTTTGCAAGGCCCTACCATATTCAGAACAATAATGAATCACTTTATGCTCAAAGATAGCTCTGAGGAGAGACACGCTCAGAAAGATCGAAGTGGGATAATTGAGCGATCCCATCATGAGGGTGACAAACCAGACGGGGCACAATGAATCCAATTAACGGTGTGATTGAGTTGATAACTTGAAAAGACGACAATAGTGCTGTTGAGAGATCGTGGTATATCAACACTACGTTCTCAAAGCCTTTATTTGATGACGATAAAGCTTCCTATGAGTATGTAGCAAAATGTTTGTCCATTGGCTGACCTGCAAAAACTGTCTCCGATACTTGGAGATTGTGCATAATCTCGGCTTTGAGCGGTCCCAGGAGATAAGAAGCACTGATTGATACTCTTGGACGTCAGCGATATGTTGGGTGATCTGGTATCGCTCAGCCCGGATTGGCTCACAAATGACTTCAGCAATTCCAGGACGAAGCAAATTTTGACATGAGTTGAATAATTCCATTTCTGGGTCACGGTATTGTAAAATACTAGACAAGACGAACCATCCAAAAGATAGAAAACCAGTTGCAATGATCCCTACCACCGCGCTACTCAACTCCCCGGCGGTCTCGTCATCTGGCAATGCATTCGGATCAGGTGAAACTATAATACCACTTTGAGATGAGTGAAGGATAAGAGGTGTGCTTTCTGATTGATGTTCTTCCTCTGGCATTGCTTGTGAACTGAGAAGTTTCCCGAAAATGACGTAGATCAAGATGTATGCGCTACATAGCGACTTCACAGACAAAGATACCAGCAGAAGCCAAAAGCATGCTCAGAGACATTTCACACACATGTAACCCAATGGACATATGTCACTACCTCCTATCTCTCATTGCAAAGCCCCTGAGGAAGGCTTATGGTAGCTCTCAATACTGACCTGACTATACCTTTTGGTCATTCAGCACTTTGGAGAGTATGTATGCGTTTTGGAACTATCATGAGCTTTGATGTAACTTCAGAGTTTATCAAAGAACACCATATATGCAGTCGAATCTCCAAACATGTAATCTATCCCAAGTCTTCCTTTTGAATCACAATTGACTTGAGAAAAGAGAAAAGGACACTGCACTTCTTGTTGAACAACTAATGCATTCCAAGAACGTGGCCCATATTACACCTCAGTGTCAAGCTTAGCTATACACTGATACAGCACCAAAATTCTTCAATGGATAGTTGAATGTCTTGAGGGGAAACTCACTGAGGGGATATAAATACTTTATCATACCCAAAAACACCCTTACAGTATTATACCCCCAATAATGAAGCTACCTAAGAGATCTATCTATCTGGCCACCAGTGGGGTTCTGTTGAAGCAATTCTGCGGCCTCAAAATTGTACCATCTCTTATGTCAGGAGATATATGCTTTAAAACCTAGAGCTTGTCTCAGGATATGATATTTGTCAGGATGTTGGGCTGCAGACAGGACCTGAGCTGCATGGAAGTGGGAATGACCATTTTTGAGACAGGTCCATCCCTATCTACCTCAAAGGCACTTTGGAGAACTCTAAGACTAGAGCTTGGTCTTTGGAGAAAAGTCACGAGCAGTTAATTAAAAAGAAAAGACACCAAATGTTGGGTTCCTGGACCAAATGTGAGTAGAGTTTTGGTCCAAGTTTTAAGCCAGCTCAAACCTCAAGGTTCTGTTAGCTCTCGTCACAGTAATGGCTGGCTTGTTAAAGTTGGTAACTTATGATCTCTTGCTGTGTCGGTCAAAGCAGATATTCGCGTGTAAATTGCCAAGGGTCACTCAATGACCCCCGTGACAACATCAGATACTCATTTTGAAAAGTTCTGAGGCAACAGAAAAACTTTCCAGCTTTCTCCCAATAGTGTCTCAGTATCACCTTCAAAGATGCCCAGGATTCTAGGATTCCAAGCAGTTATCCTCCAATGAAACTGTCCAAGAATGGTGGGACTCAAGGCACTGATGGGCTTTGGATGATCCTGTTGGGTCCATGCGGTATCAAAGGATAACTGAAAGACTACTTTTTCCTAAGATCCAATGCAGCAAGCCAAATGAATGTAATCTCCAGTCTCAGGTTAATGTCCTGGTTGAATTCTTGGTCAAACCCCTTGTCTACTGTTTTCTAAATGTCATTAGCAGCATCACTGCCCACATGATTGTGTCAGAAGCCACTAGAAATGCTGGTATCCCAACAGAAGAATAAACAAAGGGCATAATCTGAGCCTTAGACTTGCTTTTGACTCATGACAATCACCTGGATCAATGTCTTAGGTACCCTTCACCTCAGGGATGCCATCCTGGAACACCTCAGATGGTGGTGTGTGATACAATGATGGTGAAAGTGTTTCTTGATAAGTTTGGTGTGCCTTGGCAATGTGGACAGATTGTAAGTTTTTTGAGATGGTCAAAAGTTGACATCTTACATCTTTGGGTGCTTGAGGGCACGGAATGCATGTCAGGAGGATTCCTTACTCAACAAAAGCAGTGGATATATATATATAGGTATGTTCACATGATTTCTCATAAGATTCTTGGCACTAGGCATAGGATGTGGGTGTGGCCCAAAAAGCATGAAAGAGGTACAAGCCCAGAATTCAACTAAGAATATTGGAGCGCACCCACAGCCTGAGTGATATATCAAAAGCTACAACATGGGTTTTATAACAATTGAAGGTTTAGCCCACATGTCTTTGGCCTTTGATTCATCTGTAGTAGTTATAAGGTTGTTGAACAAGTGCAACAGCTTTGATAGATTTTTGCTCTTGTACTTTAAGTTCACAGGCGCATTCCATTTGATGTCATTGTTCTTGCTTTGGTCTTTGAGATACTCAATCTTCGTGGTTATGGGCTACTTTAAGTTGATTGTTCACTATGCTTCTGCGGTTTTTTGGGCGTTTGAAAGTATCCTCTCCTTTCGTGATTGGCTGAAACAAGATTTGATTTTACAAATTCGATAGACCCGGAATTGAACCACCTGATCTCGCTCACTTACCCTGAACGCGGGTGGGCCACTCTTCCTGTGTGAAAAGACAAGCGTCTTGCAAAGTGTCACATCTCCAAGACCGTAGTGATTGGTCCAGTCAGAAAAGACCTCAATATACCAACAATGGATAACAAACAAGCGAAAAGCGACCGGTTTGAAGTATCAGGGACGCTGCGCCTTGTTGTGCGTTCATGGGATTGTTACACGGAAGAACGATGGGAGAGATAAATGTCGACACAAGGGTTAAGCTGTACTTGTCTGCCGTCCAGTAACGATCTCATTCCCTAGTTCATACAGTCCCAACCTACAATGGGAACATACAATATGATTGGAGATAGAACAATCATCCCAGTGAATATTTTGGGTGAAAAGCAAGCTAATGCGAACGGTATGGTCAAAGGAGCCCTGCGAGGCAGATATAACTAATGGCCAGTCCGACTACGGTAAAGATAAAGCTTCTCGGTATGAGGAAGGATGATGAGGCAGAAGGTAAAGAAGGTCGATTCCGCTATAATATGGTGGTTAAGAAACTTTACTTTGGACAAATCTAACACATCCGAAGGTAAGAAGCGATTGCACAGGGAACTCATTTGTCGTCTGCTTCCTCGTCTTCATCCTCGTCATGACTGTCCTCATCATCCTCCAAGTCTTTGCTCTCGTCTCCCACAACAACATCCTCATCATCCTCGCTAGAATAACACAAAGTGAAGAGCGAAGTCAGTCAATCGAAGTCAAGTGGTTAGATCGGACGAAGTGTTAAAAAGGCTTACTCATCCTCATCCACACCCTCGTCGGCGATCTTGGTGAAATCAATCTTCTTTCCACGTGTTCGGGCGCCACTAATGATGTTACTCTCATCGATCTCGGCTAAGTCGTCTGAAAATCGAACAAAAGAAAGAGGAAGACGCGTCAAAAGATAAACAAGAGACTGAATATGGGATATAAGCAATTAAAACCCAGAAACTATCGTAGCGAGCGCTTGTTGATATCAATCAGGCTTGAACATGACATAGAGAATGAGGATAGACGGAGTGATATTCAGCTCATACCTTCATCATCATCATCAAAGTCTCCACCCTCGCCTTGAGGTGGGACATCGGAGTCCATTGATTTGTTTCTTCGTTAAATAATAAAGAGACAATAAAAACAAGAGACAGGCAGGTCAACAAGTGCAGAGTATGGTTTTGAAAGAGGAGGAGGATGTATGCACTTCTTCGCGTCCGGAACAGCAGCTGATTCTTCTCCGGCGCGTTTGCTTGATGGGTCAGATGATTTGACGCTTGTTGAATCAGTCATTTTGATGGAGTAAGTTCTGAGTGTATGAAGCGACGAGAGAAAGATTGCTAGTTCAGCGATAATAATGAGTTATGAAGACAAGGGGATAAATCAAAGCTTCAGAGAATGGGGTTCTAAAGGATATTTTGCCCTTGAAGTGAAGTCTTTATACTTTTGATGTGAATATGTGTGATTCTTGAGTTGAATTTTAAATGTGTGGCAATGGAAAGAGTGGGAGACAATTCAAACGGTCTTGGTGATGGTGAACAAAGAAGTCGGTGAGATCGTTTGAAAGTGTAAACTGGTGTTCAAGGGAAAGATTTCAAAACTCTCAAGGTGTGTGGTTACCAAAAATATCCCCATGACCAATCGTCATTAATGCGCTTCATGCATCCCCCGCTGTACCGAAGTTTTCGCTGGTACCGCGCCGGCGCGGCTTCATGGAAACCTATGGAATATTCAATTTTCAAATCGAATGAGTCACCAAAACCCTTTCCTTGGAGGTGAACTGGACCATGGCGCGAGACTCTTGCTCATTGTCTGACATCGTCATCAAGACAACGACCAACCGTGTCACGCGTCGTTGAGCTGAAAATTGGAAAAGAATTGCAAGTGTCCCCCCACTACGCATACAACATGTATGCTCAGCGGTCAACACCGGAAACGGAACGCAGCAATATTTGAGTGATTGTTGCGTTGCGGAGCCCCCACTATGCACCCAAGCGCTACCAAAACACTAAATACAATAAAAAAACCCTCACAAGGTATTGCAGTGGTGAAATTGCTAGGTGTTAAAGCGCTACATATGGCCCTATTGAGCTCAAGCTGATATTTCCAGTGATCTTTGAACAAGTAGAATAGTTGTCAATCAGCCATCACTGGGATATAGGAGTCACTTGCAAAGATCAGGCGTTGATGATACGGATGAAAGAAGTTGTATGTCACTGTGACTCACCAATCTTATAACTTACGCCAAGTACACCTGGGCCCGCATTGCAGATGTACTCGCTCATGGCGGGATACACGAGGGTCACGAGTCACGACGCAAAAGATGGCGAGCCAGAAGTGATTCATAAAGATGACAATAAAGTTGTGGGAAGCAGGAGATAGGGAATGTCTCTTTTTCTCGAGGAAATAGAGGTGTATTTCATAGCTTGACATTGTCCTATTCGCCCCCGCTTGTTTGCATGAATCACATATATCGCTCTGTGGGATATCCAGAGAGAATCACCTTTAGCAAGCTTGACTATGTAAATCAACTCGCTCTGCTCTACCGAGCTCTCGTTTAATCAAATCTGCACTTGGACCGACTCTCCTGCTGATTTATGTCCAACGTAGATGATGCGCACGCGGCCGCGTAACAGGGGAATTTCAAGCGAGGGCTGATTTCTTAAGAGGTGAATCCGAGTAAAATATTAGCAACGATGGATGATTGCGATTATCGTTGGATAAGATCCATAGAGATGTGGCAATATGCAAAAGACGAAAAATCCTCGTTTCTTTCTAATAAGCTATAGTATACATGGAATGCTCTGCTCTCGATGAGAGCATCCAAGAACTCCTATCAGCTGGTGGATATTGTACAGCTTGGCTGTTTCGGACATGTCTTTCAGATTGACAAGGTTTTCTAATTTTCACTCTTTGCGGCTGTGTTCAATCGTCTTACAATTTCTGATAACAATTGAGATTGCTGGTGTTAGGGCGTCTCACCACTTGAGGAAGCGCTGGATCAAATCATAGGGCATCACGCACGCTACGCTGCATGGTATCCTTTTCAGCTACATATACATACATTTTCAATCTCAGTTGACTGAAGCTTCGATTTCTAAGATCACAAAGCATCTGAACTTGATGGGTCAGCTGAGTGACCAAAGCTGCAAAACTTGTGCCCTGTGAGCCTGGCTGTTTAACTCCGGGTCAAGATTTGAATATATTTTTCTTATTTGTTAAGCTTTCTTTGGGAATTTGAAGGAGAAGCTTTCAGCATCCGCTCTCTACACACGTCTTCCGTCTGAAAGGACTTTAACCAACTCCGAGCAGCCCAAACGCCATTCAGGCAGCTCGAAGCTCAAAAGTTGTTATGTTATACCGACGTAAATATCTTAAAGTTCCATGTCTAACTGGGAGCATTGTTCTAACTGGGAGCATTGTAGGTGGGCCAACGCTGAGAGGAAGCTCAGATTTTAATTCGATGTCCAACTTATCAAGTCGCGCATACAAGCAGCAACCGAGTTTGTATTTCCTTGGTGTGGCTTGGAATGATTTTTCAAGCGCGTGAAGCGTGATTGAGTTCTCCTCCGACGCGTTTGAAATTAGCCGATCCGCTCACGGGTTGAGTCTGAAACTCAATTTGAAAGTTTTGTCTGAAGAACGTTGAGCCCGATTGGTTGAATGAAGTCCAAAAGCAGGTAAGTTTTAACTGATAGCCCTAACCATTTCTCAACTAAAAGCAAAATCATAAAATTTCTGTGGGGGAATGATACGGTGGTACCGAGTTTTGGATATCCGACCGGTTTAAGGGCTCGGTGAAATCCGGTGTTGAAAAAAAATAACAAGGTCGATAAGATTTTGAGTTTCTCTCTGTACCCACAAATAAAAAGCCTCATTACCACTTTTCAATATTTTCTTCAGTCTTCTCACTCTAGGGAATTTTGAAGCGCTTAAACTCCTGAACTCAATACTTTGATATCTTTCAAGAACCGTCATATCTCTTTCCATCAACTGCAATGTCTATCGAAACTACGCAAGAAGTTAAACCTTTAGACTCTGGTACCACTAATGGTGATAGCGATGCAGTAGCTCCAATTACTGGTGCAGTCACCAAGATTGAGGGTGTTGATGAAGAAGACCGGCTAGGAGCTATCAGTCAAGGTGCGTACCACCAAAATTTTGAATTGCCTCTATGCTTGATATACGACGTGTATCTGATCATTGTTTTTGTTTTGAATTAAATGTAATCTCAGTGGAATTTTATTTATCTGATGCCAATCTTCCCTTCGACAAGTTCATGTTCTTTCAAACCAGTCCTCATCTCGATCCGATCAAAGGTCCTACTTTATCACCAGAAGCACGGGCTAAAGCTGAAGCCTATGGACCTGGTTGTTCTCCCGTCCTTTTACAAACCATTGCATCTTTTAAACGCATGAGGCCTTACTCTAGCAAGTTTCCTACTAGCAAATTAGCTCAGATTATGGAATCAGATACAACGGTACCTAAATTATTTGAAGTCATTACAGAAGATCATAATGGTAAACCCACCCCGTTCATCCGTCGAATTCAAAAACTAGAGGAAAAGACCCGAGCCGGTGCTAGTGATCGATGTGTTTATGTCAAAGGATTTTTGAAAGACGAAGACTTAGCCAAAGAAGAACCAAGCGATATTCAAATGAAATTAGAGAAATGGGCTTCACAGTGGGGTAAAGTGGCTGTTTTGAGAATGAGACGTGAAGATCCTAAGAAGAAAGGTGGTGCAAAGTCAGATAAAGATGTAGAAAAAGAAGATAAACCTGAAAAGAAGAGGTGGAAGAACTCAGTCTTCATTGAATACAGGGACGCTGCTAATGCCGAAAAACTCGTTGCCGCCTCGAAACAAGAGTCAGATAAGCCTACATTCGAAGGACGAGCTCTTACGCCGATCATGTTCAAGTAAGCTCAACCAAGCACGTTGAGCCTTGTATCTTATATAGCTGCTAATACGTCCATCATCTGTCCCCGGAATCAGAATCGACTACGTTACGATGAAAGCAAAAGAAATGGGTCTACCTGCCCCCAAGCTCAGCGGTATGCGTCAGGCTTTTGCCGGTATCCAAGGTGGTGCCGTTGGTGGGAATGGTACCTCTTTCAATGCTTTCAGGGAAATGGCTGCTATCGCTGCCGGTGAAAAAGAATACGTCTGCGGCCCATTCTTAAAGTCAAGCGGAAAGGCAACTTCTCAACCTGTTACAATGGTTCACGAGTTCGAATATGAAGGTAATCAAATTCAAGTTGATAAGGAAGGAGTTATGAAAGATCCATCTCAACTGAAGACCTTTCGAGAAAACTTGGTCTTGGGTTTTGAGCTCAAGGGTGAAATTCCAGCTGACTTCAAGCAGGCTCGCGTCAACTTCAAAGAAGTCAAAGTAAGTCTACTACAAACGTGATCTTTGACATTCAAACTTGGTCCCTTAACTCCGTCTTTCGGTTCTTTTTGAATTTTTCAGACTAGCCTAACCGAAGGTGATGTGGTCTGTCAATTCTTACAAATGACAGAGGGTAGCAAAAGTTCAGGCGCCCTCGGATTCTTGAATCCTATCACTGATGAGATCTTGGAGAAAATCAAAGGCAAAGGTCTTCAAGCTGGTGGTCGAGAAATGGAATTCCGCAGATTGAGCTGTGAGTTATGACCCTATTGCTTTTCCCTCGCTATTTAACTGAGTTGTTTCATTCTCTTCGCCTGCCTAATTCAATTCAAAGTGGACGAGCAAAGGGAATACCATTTACAAAGTGCAGCACATATCGCAAAGAGTATGTTTGGTTCACAGGATCGAAACGGCCGAAATGGTAAGCAGGGTGGTGGTGATGACCGAAACGGTCGACGAGATGGTGGCCGGGGTGGTCGAGGTGGTGGTCGAGGCGGTCGAGGCGGTCGAGGTGGAGGAAGAGATAAGCCTCGGGATCGCAATGCTGAGCGAAAAGACGCAGCTGAAGCCGAGTCTGGAGCGGCAAAAGGAAATGGTACAGAAGCTGCTCCTGCTAAGAAGCGAGATGTTGAAGGAAATGTGATCGGTGCGCCTACTACAGGATCAGCTGAGCGAGTTTCAGTTCCTGAGATCGGCCGAGCAGAGAAAAAGTCAAAAGTTGCAGAATGATGAGTGTCATTAATCAAAAACAATCATCATTCTGAATTTATCAAAAGATAATTCTTATTATGTTGAATCTTTGCATACCTGATCTTCCTGCTGAAATGTATATTCAAAAATTATGGCTTCATATCAATTAGACTTGTGTTTTCTTTTGTTTCTGTCTGTTTCTATAATGAATTGTGCGTGGTATCTCACTTTTGGCAATCTAGATCATCTTTGTTATGGCAATCCATTCGTGCTTTCAATGATAATTGGATCTTTAGAGGAATCTGAGCCGGAGGATCATTTTCTTCATCACTTGATGTCCAATGTAGTGTTAAATGAGGTAGTCAGCTTGTTGTACCATGAATGAGACTAATGATGTCTGGATAGTATTATAGCATGCAATGGCAGCAATGGGTCCGGTCACTTCAAAGTTCAGCCCAGCTTTCTCAAGTTCCTTTGGTTGAGAATCAGTAAGCAATATCCACCAACTCAGTAGTTGTACCTACAAGTTTTTCTTAGAATAATAAAAGGGCTCTGGCTTAAACATTCAAGGGCTTCTTAGCTTACCCTATCAGTCTGATAGTAAGAGGCAAAGCTCTGGTACAGTTATATTTGCCATAGGTAAGGGCTATTTCCACAACAGTGGAAGAGTACAAATTAATTGGGGAATTTACCAGCCTCTCAACTTGTGTAGTCCAATCAAACTCAAAAAGTCTGTATTGTTCTACCACTTCATCATCATCATTTGCACATTTTTCCTTTGAAGAACAAAACCCTCTTTCTTTTCAACCAGCTGTTTTTCTAAAGACCAATCAGATTCTATGGCAACAAGGAGAACTACGTATGTTGGGTCTTAAAAACTCCAAGGTGACCTTGGGTGAGATTTACTTGGGTGATGAAGTAATTTATGTATCTCTTCACAACTAAGATCCTGGGTTTGTCAGTAACAGAAAACAAAAGCCATCCCTGACTCTTTCTTTCTATTTTTACTGTTTTTTTTCTACCAAGTGAGTAATTCACACCAAGGCAATCTAATTTGACTCAAATTCATTCATGATTTCATACTATGAGATGATAAAGAAATCTGAGAAAAAAAACAAAAATGATAAGAACAAAAGAGAAAATGAAGATGAAAATGTAAAAAAAACCTTGCCAATATGTCATCTTTTTTTTGCTGTGACCCAACTCCCCCTACCCGCGATTCCCTTTTTGAAAAACAATACCCAACACTTCTCCGATACAATTAAGTATTGGGATTGCCACAAAGAACAACTACAATTAAACCTTTCTAAAACTTCTCTAAGCTCGAATTTACTTCTTCTTTTGTCCCATCAAGTTCAATGCTGAACCAGCCTTGAACCATTCAATTTGACCAGCATTAAAACTATGACTCAATGGAATTCGATCAACACTTCCATCTTTATGTTTGGCTACCATAGTCACTTTACTACCTTCAGCGAGTTCAGTAATACCTTCGAGATCGATTCGATCGTCTGGTTTGACTTTTGAATAATCAGCAGGATCGGTAAAGGTTAGAGGCAACATTCCTTGCTTCTTGCAGTTGGTTTCATCTATGAACAAGTCAAAATATTGTGTACCATCAGTGATTATAATCATATGAGATTTATATAGATTCAAGGACCGGACATACGGATTCGAGCAAATGAGCGAGTGATGATTGCAATACCACCCAAAAACCTGGGTTCAAGTGCGGCATGTTCACGTGAGGATCCCTCACCGTAGTTCTGGTCTCCGATCACACCTGTTGATGATGACGGTTTCATAAATTAGTCTCAGTCGCAAGAGTCACAATTAATTAACCAGAGATACTAACACCACTGGATCCCATGATCACGGTAATATGCTGCGACTTCAGGAACACCTCCCCATTTACCGGTTTCTTGGTTCAAGACCTCATTTGCCTTCCCATTGGCTTCATTGATGGCACCGATTAACATGTTCTGGGAGATGTTCTCAAGATGTCCACGGAACTTCAACCAAGGACCACCGGCCGAGACTGGAAGAAAAATCAGAATACAGAGAAATCAACATCGATTGAAAAACGTGGAATCGGTCAAATCTCACTAACTGTGATCAGTTGTACATTTGCCAGATGCTTTGATGAGCACAGGCATGTTACTTGGGTTCTTTCCATTCCAAGGCTTGAATGGCTTCAATAATTGGAGTCTGTCACTGCTTGGAGAAACAGCAACATTGATAGATGCACGGTCCTCTGGGGGAGCTGAGTATGTGTTTTGACCGGGGTCGTATCCTCGTGGGGGAAGCTCCTTTCCGGATGGGTCGGAGAACTTAAAGGGCTTTCCATCCTTTCCGGTCAGACTATCAGTCAGAGGGTTGAATGTAAGGTCTCCAGCGAAAGCCATGGCGGTGACGAGATCAGGGGAAGCAACAAAGGCGTGCGTTCCAGCGTTGGCATCATTTCGACCAGTGAAGTTACGGTTGTACGAAGTGATGATGGAGTTAACCTGTTATAGAGGATTCCTTAAGTTCACGCAGATACAAAAGTGTTTGGGAGTGTTTGTTTCGACTTACATCACCCTTCTTGATATCCTGACGATCCCATTGACCGATGCAAGGTCCACAAGCATTAGCTAATACGAGACCACCGGCCTTTTCCAAAACTTCCATTTGTCCATCACGTTCGATCGTTGCCCGGATTTGCTCGGAACCGGGGGTGACAGTGTATTTCGATTTGACGGTAAGACCGTGATCAATGGCTTCTTGAGCGATCGAGGCGGATCTTGACATATCCTCATAAGATGAGTTTGTGCAAGAACCGATAAGAGCAACTTTCACTTCTGCTGGCCAACCCTTCTCCTTTACTGTCTTGGCAAAGACTGATAAGGGAGTAGCCAAATCGGGAGTGTACTAAAGAGATTCAACAACAATTTGAGTCAAATCGTCAGTTACTATGATTCAAAGTCCCTTTGACCCAGGAGCGGACGGGGGCAAGCCGCCCAAGCGTAGATAACTCACAGGACCATTGATGTGAGGCTCCAATTCGTTCAAGTTGATCTCGATCACCTGATCGTATTCGGCACCTTCATCTCCTTGTAAGTTGTATTTGAATTGTTCCGCGTACTTGGCAATGTTAGCACGTTTGGTAGCTTTCAAATAATCCGCCATACGGTTGTTGTAGGGAAACATCGAAGTGGTTGCTCCAATCTCGGCACCCATGTTACAGATAGTACCCATTCCTGTGGCAGATAAGGATTCGACACCTGGACCAAAGTATTCAACAATGGCCCCGGTTCCACCCTTGACAGTCAAAACACCGGCAACCTTGAGAATCACATCTACATGAGATGACGTGATATAGTGGGAATTTATCAATTTGTCAGCATCTGCCGATCAGATAGTTAGTAGAGACGGTTTCTGCAGACCTTTGGGAGTAGTCCAGCCGCTGATCTTGCCAGTAAGTTTGACTCCGATCACTTTCGGGCATTTAAGTTCCCACGGCAAGTCAGCCATGACGTCAACAGCGTCAGCACCTCCCACTCCGACTGCGATCATTCCAAGACCTCCGGCATTGGGTGTGTGAGAGTCGGTACCGATCATAAGTCCACCAGGGAAAGCGTAATTCTCAAGGATGATTTGGTGGATGATTCCGGAACCAGGTTGCCAGAATCCGATGCCGTATTTAGCTGTGGCCGTTGCAAGGAAATCGTAGACTTCCTTGTTGATGTTGATCGCTCGGGCAAGATCCTTTGGGCCTCCGGTTTGTGCCTCGATCAGATGGTCACAATGTACGGTGGTCGGGACAGCTACAGTAGGTAGACCGGCTGACATGAATTGAAGTAAGGCCATCTGTGCAGTCGCATCTTGACAGGCTACACGCTAAGGCGACATCATCAAAATCACATTAACGTGTCTTCCAGTGAAATTCTAGTATCGGTCAAGTCACTCGAAATAGGCTCACATCGGGTCGAAGTTTGAGATAAGAAGCACCACGGCGGATATCAGCCTCATGTGGATTGTCAAGATGACCGTAAAGTACTTTCTCCGAGAGGGTCAAAGGTCGGTTCAAACTGAAAAAAAATTGGAGATCCACATCAGTAAGTCTATCACTGGTGTCATATGAAGTGGAAGAGATTCCAGCTGAGAAGACTGACCGTTTTCGTACCACCTGGAGGTTATCTTCAATACGTTGATAGTTGATGAACTTGTCCTGCTCAAAGTTGGACATTGCGACCTTGGTGTCACCGATCCGAGCCGCATGCTTTAGATTGGCAAAGAAAGGTAAGAATGAATGTTAATGATAAACCCGAATGACCAAACCAGGTTCAAAGCAACGTACGGATGCATATGATCGAGCAAGAAGAGTAGATTTGTTGATGTGATTGGAGGCCAATCGGCCAGCCTTGATGGGAAGCATCTTGAACCAAACAAGCTCCACAGTAAAGAGATGAGGTTAAGGAAGACGCGATGAAGAAAAGTGTAAAGTAAGGTAAAGAGGAAATCAGGAAGATGATGTTGAGTTTTGATCAGTCAGTTGGTAGGTTGCTATGGATCAGCTAAGCCTATCACCACTAAATTCAATTCGATCGATTTCTTCCGGCTTACTAAAAACCCGATCGACCGAACACAGCAATCACATGAAAAATAACGGAGCTTCACGGATTGATACCACACCTGTCACAGTTTACGGTCATGAAATCTCTTCTTGACCAATCAGCGCTCTTCAAATTATCGCACTCAAACTTTTCATTTCGCCCTCGAAAAACCGAAATACCAACAAATCAGTTCTTGATGAACAGTCTCGTATCCATTACTGGTTACGGCTAAGACAACGAGAGGGTCGGGGGGATTTTCTTCATGGAGACGACTCTTTTGGCTATCTTCCTAACAACCATAAGTTGATCATCAATGATATTCATTTGTGAATCAATTGCAGCCTTGTACACATATATACCAAGTGCTCTCACTCATCTGCAAACTCAACAATCAGTGAAATACAAAGTCATACGCTCCTTATATGTTTGATTGCTCCTTTTTAGTGACTCATAGTGAGGAAAGCAATGATACATGGTTCATGATGAGTTCAGTATTCCACCTTGCCCTCATTGAAACAATAATCATTTATCGAGCACATGAACAACTTGATTAAGCGAGCTAGTTAAAGTCCAAGGAGCAAATCAGCAGTGTACAAATATTAGAATCAATAGAGCTACAATGAAGGTAATAGAAAAGGTCAAATTGGAGTACCAACATTCAAACCGAAGTCTAGGAAATCGGTCTTCAACAATGAGAATAGATTAAGAGAGAAAAAAAAGACAGATGCATGAGATTGAGAAGAATGAAAATATGTAAGTGATTAGGACTCTTGATGCACAGCAAAAGAAGCACAAATCGAAGCACACAAATCATTATTCAATGAACAAGTCAACAACATGTAGTGTAGATAAAGTCGTAAATCGAATAAACATCCCTAATGAAGGTCAAGTACCGGGTGAAAGGTTGTTATGCTTTCCAATATCTCATATTTGGGTATTTAGCGCTAGTAGTTGGTGCATCTGTAGAGTTGTAGCCGGTGGATGGAACAGCTGGCATCTTGACTTCACCGGCCGCTGGGAAACTTGGAATCTTCATACTACCGGACGTCGTCATACTTGACATCTTCATACCACCTGGCATTGTGAACCGATAGTTGAAACCGCCTGTTTTCCCCTTTGTTTGTACTGTGCTAGAGCTTGCAGAGTTTTCATAGCTTTGATGGGTGGTGGGTATGTTGGAATGATAATTAACCTCTTCATCATCTTGAGAAACGTAAGTCTCTTGCGAATCGTGGACCGAGACTGTTTGTGACGCTGTCTGGACGGATCGGGCTGGGAGGACAGAAGCAATTGCAACATGTAGTAAAGCCATCACGATGAAAACTTGAGCTTTAAGATTCATTATGAAAAGGTTCTGTTCTCAAGAAAAGACCAAAATAAGTACGGGAGTTCGATAGAGCGAAATAAATGCAGCTGAGGCATAGGGAATGGAGGCAGTACTCACGGTAAAATGAGTGACTGATGACAAAGGATTTGACACGTATGTGTTACGGACTAGATCTTTGAGAATGATGAACTGGATGGGTGTGAATTCGGAGTAACAAGGAGACTTTGAAATTGATGCTGAGTGGATTTGAGGGATGAATGTGATGTGAAAGGGGTAACATACGACAACATTTATCTGAGCTCAAATCCTCGGTTCTGCTGCTGTTCATTATCAATAAACAAGACAAGGAAAAAAATTGTGCGTATGTGCTCTTAGTTACTACCGAGCTGCACGTTCGAGTCAATTGGGAAATTATGAGGTGCGTGATGCGGTATGACTTGATCCGGCATTTCCTCAAGCGGTGAGAGTGACTCTGAGCACCAGCAATAATGGCTGTTTTCAGAAATGGGACGATCAAAAACATCCGCAAAGAGTGAAAAACACAGACGCAATGACGAAGAGATTCGAAAGTGGTATAAACGTCATGGATGCCTAATCATCTGTGGTATTTCCGTGCCACTCTTTAATTGTGAGCTGAACTTGCATGTTGGTCGATGAATGTCGTTGCATGTCTTGCAAGCTGTTTGTTTTGCCCAGGCTAGCCTTTTCCATGATCCTGGTGAGCCTAAGGATGTATCATCAGTTGTCTGTGGTGAGCCAGCTCAATAATCTTCTTCAAATCAGCTCTCGGATAGTTGATCTTTCATCTAACTCGTGTCGAAAGTTCTTGGGATGAGCTCACGTATCATCTAAGGCAGAAAATTCACAAAGTCAATGCATGAGAGGTATGATCAAATACAAAAAGGATCAAGCAAAAGGCTGCAGGGGAAGATTGAACCTACATAGGGAAGCTGTGTGTCTGTGCGGCGTGCACTCTTCACTCTTCTGGCAGTTCAATCATAGAAAGGTGTTCAGAATTCTATGCTTCATTTGGGCTGAGGGTAGACCATCTTTCAGACTGACGTGTGTTCATACTTTTAGTGCAGAAATTGAGATTGCCTTGTATCATTCCATTTTCGCGCCCACACGCCGCCATTCTGGCCAGGACGCGCCTAGGCGCACTTCTTAGCAAGAAAATGCTTATTGTGGTTATTGATGATTTGTCACTTATGAATATGTTCAGGTATTTCTTCAAATTTTCCTTCAACATTCCTGTTTTACTCTCACTTGTGGAATATCTTGTTGAGCTCTCTTGCCGCACAGTCATGGAAGAAAGCTGAAACACAGCACATCCAATGCATGGTTTTTCATTGATTTTATCTTAAGACTTATTTGATGACTAATAACACAAATGAAAATCACAAAATCGCCAAAAAAAAAAAACAGCTCAAGAGAGATGACAGGTACACAAAAGAATTTGAAGTGCTAGGATATTCAGTAAGAGAAGATTACATGGAACGGATCTATCGGACACGCTTCCTTTTGGCCGGACGTGAAGATTGATTTTCTGACCAGAAGACATATTGCGTGAATTTCCTGAGCTTGATCGTCTGGCGACAATAGGGACAAGTGTTTTCTCCTTGATTGAGCCAGGGCTTAATTTTGCGAAAGCATCAATTGAATCCAAACAAAAAATCACAAGCGATCAGCTATCTTGTCTTCACTCTAAAGACATCATTTTTATTTACCCTGAGACATTGTTCATGAAAATCGTGCGTTTTTCGTTTGGTACATTGCAACCGAAGAACTCGCTGTCCAACCAGAAAATGCTGCATGCAAATGGAGCATTCATTCTCTTGGTCTTCCTCTCGTGGATCGTCAAATTGAGGTAGTCTTTTGAACCTAAATATATCATCTTGAAGTTTGTTTTCATCACAAAAACATGTCAGCTATCAATAATGTCCCTCTATTTTTCCAAAGGATCTTAACGGTATATCAAAATCCCACAGGAATTATAGAGAAGATTTGGATACGGGCATCAAATTTCTTATATATTAAGATAGGCAAAAGCTCACTTTTGTAGTCCAATTCACTATTCAAATAAGGAACAACTTCATGAGGATTATGTGCACTTGCTTTGTATAATACTCCAAGAATGATATTCTGATCTTCAAGATATTCTTGAATCTTGAAAGGAGATATCCCGTACTGCTGTTCCTGAAAATTATGAATCGCGTGGTTTTGCACTTTGAAAGAGTCGATCACATGTTTGAAATGAGAAAAATCTGCTGGGGTATCCTTTTTGAAAGGCTGCAAGATGTTTGTGATATAAGGATCGTTTGATGCCTTTCGAATGATTCTCAGGATGTCTGCTTTAACTGTTGAAGCCCAGAATCTCTGAGAGTTTGTCTTGAAGAATCCATCAATCGTAAATCGCCATTCAGTATACCTCCTCACATTGACATCATATCTCAACATATGATTGAGGATGTCATAGGCCCAACGTGTTTCTAGACTTAAATCAAGATGTCGACTCCAATGTTCTTCAAATGTAGATACGAATCTCACAGCTTGGTCCTTATCCAGTGGTAATGCTGCTTGAACAAGCATGTCATGTAGCTTCCTACCACTCTGACTCAAGCGGGGTACAATTTTGGTTTTGATTGCTTTCTGCATAGCTGCCAAAAGTTCCGCTCTCTGAAGGGCCTCTATCAGACCTGAAACCCATAAAATTTTACGTTCAGTTATTATTTTGGTACCTGTAGAATGATAACGTACTGATAGGCAATGATGGGAGAGCTTTTGGATTGCACATCCTCTGCGCAATTGGTAGCAGATCAATTCCTTGTCCTAAAATTTGAAGACGAGTCAAAATGAAAATTCAGTACATATCTTTCTCATGAATCATTGAAGGGAAGGCATGAATATAGTCAAGATATACCTCTGATTAGGTGTAGCTCGAAAGCTCCTCGTCTCACGGGTCCCTCTAGAATATCCGTCCTCATTGGCTGCAACTCTCCCCTTGGAAGAGAAGCCTGGAGACCATCAAGGATAGCCAAAGTCCATATCCTCTCCTTTCTTGACAAATCTGCTCGATGTAAAGCATCGAGTGCAGTGTTGATGCATTTTTCTAGATCAGACCCCTTGCGAAAAGCCTCGGCCATTGAAAAATTATCCGGAGAGTCAAAAATGTTTGGCCGAGATGCGCTCTTGAATAGTCGGGGTAAAGTACCCGGAAGTGAGGACTCTAGTGCCGCGGAAACTAGGTCTTTGTATGGCTCAAGATTCCTTGCACTGGGTCTTGGTATTGGTGGGCTTGCGCGATATTCTAACGGTATGTTGCTGGTATCAAGCAGTTCAAAATGTTTTCTTGAATGCAACGTATACGTAGTTGAACTTGACTCTGCAAGATCTCGTTTTTGCTCCATGAAGTAACGGCTTTCCCCAAGGAGGTCGTATTCTATCGAGGACAGGATCGTAAGAGGCAGCTGAAAGAGGCAAATGAAGTATTTCATCTTGATCAGGACGATATCGATCAGAAAGAGGGCGTTACGATTGAAGTCTGGTCAGGGACTTAGTAGCAACTTGGCTTGAACCGCAGCTTTACTTGCAGCATAATCCAGGTCGGAGAACGTATTTACGGCCGACAGCGTGCTTCCACCTAGAGATTCGGCCCAGGAGGCACTTAGAGCAATGCATAAAAAAACCTAGAGAGGTATAACCTGTTTCGACTCACAGCTTACAATTGATATTCAATCAGAACTTAATCAAGTCAACGTTTCAACTTGAGAACATGAATATGAGGATGAGTCAATTCCAACACCGCTCGATATCGAAATTCTTTTTTGGTTCCAAGTCCCATGCGCGTACAATCGATTTTGTGTCCAACACAGCACGAGCTGGATAAAGAATCAAAAGGCAAGATCGTGTGTCAAAGCCTTCACAGGAACAAGCACTTGACCTTTTGAGATCATTTCCGCTTCGTTATAAGAGTTCCCTTTGTTATACTGCTGTCCTGCATATTGCTGTTCCATTATCGTAACTCAACTGTTTGTTCCCTCATATACCATGATCACATGTACAGAGCAAGTTCTAATACTATCATTTGTTTAAGGATTATTGATCCAATCTTATTCATCAATACAAAAAAAGAGATGAAAGATGAAACAGTTCACAAGACAATCTATGCCATATCATCACGAAAAGTCGTCAGCACTAAGCAGGAATTCCCTCTGAATAGGAAGTGTTAGTTAAACGGTATAACACATCTTTTACACAGATGAGATGAGAGTTCGATGTCACGTCGGAGAGGGTGTTATGCCGTGGATCGGATTTCTCATGGTGAAAATCTGGCTTCATCATCTATTGCACAGGGCAAACAATTGCAAAATGCACCCAAAACCATGGCGAGTTTGTTCATCTTTCAAATTTGACGGTGGCTCTAAATACTATTCCAAGAGCTTATTCTCTGAACTCTGATTCAACTGAGCTTGATCACACTGATGGTTCCCCTTGGTGGGGCATAATATTAAGACTATGGGTGGGGATCTGTGTGATATATTACAGTCATTTCGAGAAAGCTTGTCACAAATTCCCCGCCAATTTGCTCGAGTTTGGCGGGCAAAATTGGTCAAGCTTTTGTGAATTGACTGTATGTATTCTAGATTGAGTCTTGGCTGTAATAATAATATTCCCCGCTACTTTCTGGGTGCAGTGTAAACTACAAATTATTATGTCCTTACCTGTCCTTACCAAGGGCAAAGATGGCAACCATCAGTATGATATATGATCTGTGGTTGGTAAACCTAAAACGAGAGTTAAGGTGGCTTTGCTGTTACCTGCATCCACAGTAGTGTTTTTACAACTCATGAAACCATGTATCAATCCAGCAGGTCTTTTGTTACAGAACTCATCTTTCACTTGAACCATGCATCATAGTTTTTGTTTTATAAGGCATGAATATTTATTGTATCAATTTGAGTCTAACAGGGCCCAGGGGTGATGGACAAGATCTGAAAAAAGAGTGTATCATCAGTGAAATCTTGCAATTCCAGAATCATAACCCGAAAATAAAGCAGTCTATGCCCTTTGATTAGAAGATTGATACTCATCAGATCTATACATCAAAAGTGAAATTGATGTATGTATCCCCCTACCTTTTTGCAACATTGCCCCCTGCCTACTTATCAGAGCAAGAACTAAAAGAAGTGTTCCCAAGTCATACTGATATGGCATCAAATTTTGTTGTCAAAATGATAATTGATTTCTGGCAAAACGGGCTAAATAAGCAAGTGGATATCACATCAAATACACACATTTGCCCTTATTTTGTCTTTGTCAATAAAACAAAGAGTGATATGATAGCTTTGAAAAACCACCAAAAAAATATGGTTTCACAGAACTGTCAGCATAATTGGACCGGAGGCCAGTATCCAAGGCAGCATTGTAAAGCGGCCCCGATGTAAAGGGAATACAAGACCGTGATCCGAGAATGCTGAGCAAACAGCAACCGTAGAATTATGGATTTTCACCAAAGCTGTCTTAGGTCTCATGACACTTTTCAAGTGAAGTGAAGTTCAAAGGAAGTCACATCAAAATCAAGCAACATACTCACTCCTGGAAACCTAGTAAAAGACATTGGGACAAAATTTCAAGATTATGTTACAAATGCACAATTGTTCATGTGAATGATCAAAACTGATCAAGATTATAAATGATCACAACTACAAAGAAATAAAGAAACAGGTTAAGATTGATTAAATGTGGATGTGATGATACAAATTATCACATGAAGCAACCAAAGATTAAAAAAGTAATATATGTGTAGTAAATTTGATTAAGAAAGATTAATATCATCTGATAAAGCTCTCAGTAAATCTTGATAGGATTCCAGTCATAGTAATATCAGAACTTTCACTTTTGGATTTAGACGTTTCTGATATTTTATCTTCCTTGAAGTCTACAACTGTAAGAACAAATTATCAGCTTATCTGGCTATTAAATTGCTTATGTGAAAAGATGCTTACCCGCTTGGAGCTCAGAGGGGGACTCTTTGCGTTCTTCCTTTACATGTAAATCAGACTACAAGAAATAGTGGAGAGATCAGTTCATATATAAAGTGGATCACGCTCATTCTGAGAATCAATGTTGCAATAAACTTACATCTTCTTCCAAGGCGCCATCTTCCTCCTGGAAAGATAAGGGATTGTTCAGCACTAGGCCCATTGAGAGAACTAAAGTGTGACTTACATCAGCAGACCAGGCTTCACTTCTGGGGTCGAGGCTTGTATGGTAAGTTGGTATGTCTGAAATCGTGCTAGACTGAAATGCCAAAGGGATAAGTTCATCTTAAAAGGATATAAAGGAAAGGCGATTTTCTTACCGCTGATAATGTCGAGCTAAATCTCTCGTTGACATGAGTAGAAGTCTCATCTCCTTGAGAACTACCTCTGCGAGCTTCCAGCCGCACTATCTCCACACTCTCCATTCGATTGTGAATTTCTTCTTCACTTTCAAACACTTCTTCCTCCTCCTCCTCGGGTCCATAACCTGCAAAAAAACTCGTAGGTCAGAAAATCTGATGTGTTTATTTTGAACTTGTACTAGATGATCAATCGTCTTACGAACCTACTGCTCGTACCGCGGCCTGCACATCTACACCTCTCTCTTGAGGAATAGAACTGATCAAATAAACTTTACATAATTCTTTTAAAGCATTCCACCAAATCATTAATTCATCATGATTCTTAGCACGAAATGTATAAGCTTGTTCTCGATTGAATTTTGATTTTTTTCCAAGAATCAAATTGAATTTTGGTGTACGTGATTGAGAATGAGTTGGAGCTCCTAAAGTACATTCAAGTAAGAAAATCGATAATTCTGGTGTTGAACTTTTTTTTATGTCAGATGATTTAAATTCATGCAGGTAGCCAGCTGGTGTTATGACAAAATAGCCTTCACCGTAAGACCTTGTATATCTGTATGTAGGTAATCGAAAGTCAGAAATACCTTCATATAAACCAAAAATTTATAGGAATAGACTAGGAAGATATTGAGATCGGAAGGCCTACCTCTTTTTACGCCAAAGTATTCCTTGATGAATCGGAATTGTACAAGGATCTCCCATGCCAGGATAATTTATCTTTTGAGGGTTTCGAAGAGGTGTATCAGGGTCAAGCAAACAGTCCTCGCGAGAGCTGAATGCTTCCCACTCGGTGGTAGGTGAGATGGCATCGATCAAATTAGCGGAATTCGCCCAACGGTTGTACACTTCACCCGATTTACGAGTATTGTACTCGTGGTAAACAGCCCAGATACTTTGGATAGCACTACAAGAAGAACAAGGTCGCAATGAGTACGATGTACCATCTCAAGATTTAAACAGGTTTTCATGAAGTGCTATGAACGAACCGAACTAAACCTTCTTCAAACTGAGCGCTATTGGTTTGCATGATCAATATACTTTTCTGTAGCATGTTTTCTTCTTGAACTTGTTTTCGAAGTTGTTCGACTACAAGTTGATTGCAAAGCCATGGGTCTTGTCGGCCTTCAAGGTTCAAAGGGCTGTGTGTAGCAAACGCAATGGAACGTGTCAAGGATGTGATGAGTCGAGTGGACGACTCTCGCTCGCTAGCGACCAAAGTTGCCAATTTACCCGTGTCTTCTATGATGTTACGAATGTGAAGTTTCACCTCGGTTTTGAGTTTCTGGAGGTGTAGAACGATTGAGGAATGGACGATCTTTGCCAGTGCATCGTGCTCCTCAGCTATGATTCGAGTATTTTCTCGGACACCGTATAAGATGTCCTGTAGACCGCCTTCGTCCAAAAACTGGCTACTTCTCAGCGGTAGGACTTCATGGACAGCATTTCCCAAACGGTGAAGCTCGTTTGAAGTCTCTTGTTCAACACGATTGACACCTACGTATCAGCGTAACAATGTCAGGCTTCAGCTCACGTCGGGTTCTGATTCAAAAGTCGACAGATTTGGAGCTGACCTTTGAAGAATGTTAACAAAGTATCACAAACCGACTTCCAGACCTGAAATCGCTCGATGAGGATATCTGATGGTTTGAGATCATTGGATGCAGTAGCACGCTTGATAAGTATACTGTTCCTTGTGGACGCAATACTACGACTTGTCTGACTGGATTGCGAATATGATTGCGACATCTTTGAACGATGGAGGTAATACTAGTTGAGAATGAAAATGAATCTGATCGTTTAAGGTCAATGAGGAAGTGAATGAAGCTATAAGGTCAAGAGAGTGATCTGGTTGATTACCAACTTCGGAATCTTACCCAAATTGGTATTCATCCTCAACTTTTATCTAGTTTTGTCTCATCAAATCTTAATCCATCAAGCCTTATATCAACATACAATCCATCTTCTTTGATTTTCTTCATTAGGATTTGTCCTTGGTTTGATCCGTACGAAGATATCTGCTTTCTCTGTTTTTAGTTTTACTCCATTACCAATGTGACGTCATTCACCGATTATCACCTTCATCTCTTCCGTTCTTGCATGCTATTTACCGTGTTACCGGATTTGGACCTCTTTACCACCAAAAAAGGACGCTTCTCAACTTGGATTCTTTATAACAAACTGACCTTCATTGGTCATGTTCGGTCTTTTTAGTGATTCTGGTGGTGTATCACGTACCAATTCCTTTCAAAGAAACTCTGAAGCTCGCATTTCTACCTTTGAACATACTTCATCTGCACTGGGAGATAAAAACCTGCTCGGATCACTTGAAAGTGTCCTGCGGTCATTAAGGTGATTGATGACTTGAATGTAGCCTACGTTTGCCATGACAAAAGAGGTGTTTCGAAAAAAAAACTTGAAGTTCCCTGTGAGAATCGTAGGAATCGGGGATCCCAATAGATCAAGAGAACAGATGCCAAAGAATCGTGGGTCAACCAGTTGACGGGGATTGGTTTTCCTTTTTGATCTCTAGCAATAGTTGACTTGCGGAACTACATCCAGCGTGAGTGAAGTATTGAGGACGGATAAGATGTGACATTGTAGGCTTTGAAAGCAAACCCATCCATAATCCTAGGCGTACCCATGTCCATTGTGGGTAAAACAAGCCCCTCTCGGGTTGTTATGATCCTCTCCGGAGTTTTATTAGAAAAGGTTGTGGATAGCATCAATGAGGTAGGGAAACAATTGGAGATATATGAAAAGAAAGGGTTTTTCTTTTTTTTTAATTCGAAAAAGAGATGGAAAAGAAGTAGCAAATGTTGACAGGATCAACAAGTGAAGTGATTTTGATTATGGATAAACTTCAATGATGTACCTATTTACACATACATACACAATCTTCTTTATCTGAAGCATGTTAAAACAGTTCTTTTTCTCACAATTGCACACAAAACCTTCACATAGAAACTGAGGAGCATAGTGCTTAGAAGGGATGATATATGTGACAATGAGCCCGGGAACAAGTCCCCTCACCCCTACATTTCCCTTGGATTGGGGTGCATCCTCTTGATCTCAAAGATGACCATTATAAAGATGATTGTCTGGGTGTCAGTTTAATTTGATATGTATCTTAAATGATATCACAGTGGCAAGGTGGGAAGTGACTTTACCAGGGCTCAAAATGGTGTTTGGAATACAGGAGCAAGCATACAATCAAAATAGAAGTGCAAAGACAGTGGAATAGTTGGAGATAGAGACAAACAAAGACATTTTGATCTTGGACAAATATCAATAACATAGTAGAAGGTTTTGGTTGACATCAATAATCAGCATTTGTAGTTTTAAGTTTTGTTCAAGTTTGACTCAATTTTGTTTGCCTGCCAGGAGGATGTTTGGATTGAGTTCAAATGAAATTTAAAGTCATTAATTAAAAAATGTCTTGAAACTTCAATGAGCTTGGAAGCTTTGTATGTATTGTCTTAGGATTGTGTTATGTTTATTGTATGGATTGTACAAATAAAAAGGTGGAATGATGAAATGAAAGGAGTAAGAAATCATATGTTGGTTTAGTCTCAAGGTCTAGTAGTTACAAATTTAAAGGCTCTGAATTTACAGGAAAGAGCATATGTTGAGAAGAGATGAGTAAGGTGATAAAAGTTGTTCTGACAGGTCTCCCTTCACTCATTCTTGGTGGTACACAAGAAAGACAACCAAAATGTTAGAAACTTCAGGCCAGGAAAGTCTAAAAGAATGTGGTACAAAGTGTTGAATCAGGGAAGATCAAAACCTCTCATTTTAAATGAAAAATTGGATCTACCTGCAGCATTTCGATCATCTTCTTGCTGGCGGATAAGGCCGGTCTATGATGGCTTTGATATTGGCTTGTGCACAATGCTCCTCCAATGAAATTAATATGTCCTCAAGCACTTCAGGTTGAAAATCGTAGTTTGGAAGTTCGTGCCAAAGTTGCCGTTTTGAAACCACCTTCTTGAGCTGAGGCCAAGGACCTTGAAGGAGAGTACTTTTAAGTGACCGACAATGGTCTGATGACCAAAAAGGCCAACGAAGACAGCTTATGGAATTGCAGTCTCGAAAGCTGTTGAGTGACTGAGTGCTCCGGGCACATATCTCCAAATCAGCCAGTAATGGAAGAGAGAAACGAAGTTGAGGATACCAGTTGGAATCAATGGCCCATGTATCATGGCCGAATATATTGGAAGAGCGCAGCTGAAGCTTTGTTACGCAAGGTGCAATGTGATGGACGATCCGATGGGCTGAACTTGGTGATACACCGCCACAATCCCAAAATGAAAGATCAGTAATTGTCTTTGGCCAATCATGAAGGCACCAACTTTCATCTACATTGTCAACTCTTGCTAAATGTAATTGTGATAAGAATTTGAGCTTAGACAGATTAAATCCAAAAGAACCATCCCCAAGGTTTCGTTGATCTGAAAGTCCACGCCATGTGAGCGACTCAAGCAAAGGTAGAGCACAAACAAGTTTTAACGGGAAATCATTCAAAGTTATCTGGTCGTGTACATCGTTCAACGTGAATTTTCGAAGGTGTTTGAGACTTGTTAGTAATGGAATTAAATCCAATAGAAAAGCTGTTGTTCCGCCCTCGTCTTCATTATCTTCAGCGCATTCATACGAAATCTTTAGTGTAGATAGGTTAGGGCACCGATCCAACAGCGCCCTTACATTCTCTGGAGAGATCTGTTCCTCGATGTCATCATGAGACTCTTTACAAACGAGATTATCGTAGAGGGGTGGATACTCGTTATATTCACCAGGAGGTTTACTGCAGTTTGAGGAGAGTGAAATTGATAGAGCTCGGACATAAAAGCCTTGTCTGATTAGAATATCTTCGGTCCAAAGATCCATTGGTGCAGGAAGGGAAGAAGGAAACTCTAGTTTCTGAAAATTGGCATGAGTGATATCATGATCAGACAGGATTGAGTATTGAACGAGTTACTTTGAAGATGACTCACTCGCCAAAGCCATGGTCGACATAATTGATGTATTTCACGCGAAATGAGTGCAAAGGCTTGAATGCTATTCAACACTGGTGGGTTTCGATGTAAGTAGGTCCAGTATCCCTCTTCTTCATCTAGACCACAGATGTTCACCATGGCGCTCTCCTTTTTTTCTCCAACATCCTTAGCTTCGAACTGAGCCATGCAATCGAGAATTTTAATTATATTTTCAATGACCTCATTGGGTAAATCCACGAGGCCTCGGGGACGAGATGCAGTTTTCAATTCCTTGTCTTGAATGGCTTTTTCGACTTCATCCGATGGAAGTTCAAACTGTTGATAGGCGGGTGATTTGAGTTTCCTGCGGACGGATGAGATAGGACCACGTGGGCTGTCTGAGATACCGATTTGAAGGAAGATATCAAGAATCGACTTCTTGGACCAAACAAATCCTCCCGAGTCAAGTTCATCAAACCGCTTTCGAATGAAACCGAGATGTTGATCCACTGGCTCAGTCTCCGGGTGACGTTTCGAAACGATTTCGCGCCAAAGTCCAAGCTGAGCTGTATGACCCGAGGATGGCATCTTGACTTATATTCTTGAGAAGCTATACGGTTAGATCTTCAAAGATCTCAATATAGAGGACCGAGCTGAGAAGCTTGTGTGCACTGAGAATTGTCGCGCGAAGAGACGTAGTATGATGAGTCATGACAACAAATGATTATTTCCAAAGACATTGAGGAGGATTTGTGTATTGTCCCGGTACCGAGTGCCATGATCATGACAAAATCCTTTTTTCCTTTTCCTTTCTCCTTTCGCAGTTTCCTTCCTCAAATGCCATCTTTCAGGTAAAAACATTTCGAAGGCAGACTTAAAGTCACATCGCGCAAGACTTAACTTCAGAATGATGGTAAAGTCTCATATCAAAGATAGCTACATTTTTAATGTTGAGCCGGGATGAGGTCAGCTAGCGTCTGAGATGGGTGAAAATTATAATGGTGAATTGTCTCTCGACTCTCTCCCTTACAATCAAGCCACGTCCGAAGCTTACAGAATCATAACGCTACATTCATTCGCCATTGTAATTAATCATCAACTTTCTTGAATAAGATACAGCCCTTTGCAAAATTGATGACTTTGGAAAAGGAGAAAACGCTTGAGTTTTCAAAAAAACCTGCGAGTTTTTTTCCAAAACTCATTCATTTTTTCAAAAACTGAGCGAGCTCTTTCTCTTTTAGACTTACTGAGCCAGGTTTCCAAAAAAAACTCACTGACTTTTTGAAAAACTCAGCAGCTTTTTGACAAAACTCAAGGTTTTCTTTGAAAACTCAATGTTTTTTCTTCTTCAAAGTCATCAATTATGCAAAGGGCTGTAAGTCTTTCCAGTCAGAAAGAAGTCAATTCCTGATTTGAGGAAATATTGGTAATTGGCTTTTGTGGAACACTTAAGAGTGATATCAAAACATAAGATTCGTGATACCCTTATAAGTTGGCGAGAGCAACTGGCATTACAAGATAGCAATCAAAAATTCTTGTTCAACATGAATCTAACAATTCCCTAAGAGCAAGTCTACGTACCCATTTTTTTGAAACAAGAATATATGAATGTCCTTGACATATGTATCACTTTATACATTCTTGAATTGGGTCTTGATGTTCTACTTTTTTTGAAAAGCACTTGCATCAAGCATTCAAAATCATAAACCAAGAAACAGATCCCAAGTATATATAACGATCTTTCAGTCCTGATTCACAAACCAGTGTAAGCCGGTTTGGCTGACCTAACCTTTCTCTAATATCATTTCAAATAAAAAACATTTTTCTCAGTAACCATTCACCCTATTAGAAGACAAAACTGAGTAGAATAGAGCTTACTAGGGAAGGATTCGCGATAAGCCTTGGGAGGAGTACCGCGACCCATAGGCATTTTTCTGGCCCCAGATCGACATATATTTTGTTTATCTGAGAGAACATGACTGAAAACATGTTTAAGTGTCAATTCGATTTGATTATAAACCACATTGAATGTTAAAATGAATTACCGCTTCAAGGCTCTAGGAAGCTTCATAATTGTGATAGCTTCAAGTGAAATGCAAAAAGAAAATGTGTGAATTTGTTATAGCCAAATGAAGAATTCAAGTCGAGATAAGTAACCTACGCGTTGGACCCCGGGAGATGGAGCTCCTCTTTTTTCAATCCTCTCGAGGAGTACTAGTAGAAGAGTTGGCCTGCTTTGTAACTTCAGATGCCTCACCCGCCGAGTTAAAATATGGTTAGATAACCCCATCAGCTGATATATATTAACTGATGATAAACATAAGGTTATATGAATGATTTGTGTGGTCAAAGATACCTACGAGCTTGATTTTCATTTGCGCCACTTTCGGGAGCGCTGGATTCTATTTGAGAAAGGGAATGAAAATCAAAAATGTGGATCAGCATTGTGAAAGTGGATCAATCAGCAATTTGCACTTCTGAGAATGTGAATGTAGGATTGATTACGGATGGAATGTGATGTTGTAGGTATTGGAAGAAAGGTCATCTATATGATAAGCAGATGATCCTCGGCGGACCCTTATTTTTGGATATTGAGGTAACCTTGGCCTCATCAGGTTCAGGAGTCTTGCTCGAGCCTGGAAAATAGGTTGTGGGGAAACTGAACGGACCTGGGAAGTTGTCAAAGAAAAGTGTCAATCTTTTGTGCTAGAAGTTTGATGAGTTTTCAGAATCCTGCGGATATCTTCTATCAGCTTACACGTTCAAAGGTCATGGAGCATCCACTCCGTTACTGGGAGATAGATACCTGTGCCGTGTCCTAGTGCAGGACCGTGAACGTGAGGCACTGAAAATGGAAATTCACAATTAGATGATGACATTAGGGTGATGTATCAAAGATGGGACCTACAGCCATCCTTATAGAAAGCAGGAAGCTCCAATTTGTCCATTTGATCTAAGAAAAAAGCTACAAAAATGGGCAGAAAGAGTTTCAAAAAGAGGGCTTATAGCAGATGTCAAAGTAGATAAGAAGCAAAAAGGAACAATCATCACAGAGATATAACAACAGCCCTTTGATATGATGGATAGATAGTCTTGAGTCTTGCCATCCTTCTCCACTTTGAACAAATCCTTAAATAGGATCCTTGCGTACCTTAAGGCATCATAACCCTGAGGTTAGTACTTGCTTCCGTTACTAGACTTTCATAAGCAGCCATGATGGACTTTGGAACGGGCAAGGATTGTACCGGTGAAGGATTGTACCGGTGAAGGATTGATCAGAGAATATGGCAACTACTTATTCAACCTTCCATTACATTCCATGATCTTGGATAAACCCATAGAAATGGATTGAATCTTGTATGTAAAGGTCTTGTATTCAAGTGTATACTGCATATATATATACACAAATATTGAGATGAATTTGCTTTACATGTTGTTTTGAGGTAATTGTGCTTAATCACGTAATTCATGGCTTCATAAGCGTTTGAAAAAACAGGTGAAAGGTCACCAGGTTTATAGGGGTTGGGCGAAAAAGCGACCAACCGGTTTCCAAACCCAATTCAGTCGCAGTTCAAAAAGTTGGGAATGCTTTTGAGATTGCTCAAAAGCAATATGAAAGTCACTCCAAACTGACAAACATTTTTGTCTGTCTTTTTGCTTTGCAAAAATACACACCGGTATAAAGTGCTTCTAGATGACACCAAAGTTTTATCTATTCAAAAGTCTTGCAGGCAAGACAAATTTGCGCCGCTACAAGCCACACAAACACCCGCTTTTCTTTTCTTTTTTTTTTTTATATGAATGTATTTAAAGTGCGATACCTGGCCCTAGGGCATAAAAACACACTATCTGAAAACAAGCGGCGACTGACAACTTTAAGCTGAAAAGATGAAAGATAACTTGGTGTGACATGATTTTGGGTTAAGATTGGACCCGGCGCAGCTCGATATGAGAAATGAATGAAAGAAAAATATAGGAAATAAAATGAACAGAGACATGATACGCTCATGGCGTCGGGTGGAAGCTAAGCAGTAGCAGTTCAGGGTGCGGCGTTGACTTTGACTCGGCAGAATCTCTCTACGCCAGATGGCCAGTGCGGAGGTAACACTCTTAGGCGCCGGGGTGATGTCCCCGTTGGTCTTTTAAGACATCTTTTAGTCGGTGGAGGGTTTGACAGAGAATACTCTGCGTCGTCTCAGTCTCAGCTTTCCCCATCCCTATTCCTGGCTCCGTACCCATCGGACACAATTTGAATAGAACTGAGAAAAGGAAAAGAGAAAAAGAGAGAAAACGAGAGGAACTGATGAGAGATGAAATGCAATTGATGTGGTTTGATTTGAGGTTGTTTGGTCGGAGAAGAGACGATAATGAGAGAGGTTAAACTTGAGGTTTAAGATAAAGAGATGTTGAGGTTGAGGTTGAGGTGAGGTTGGGTGATGGATTAGGTTCGTTGGTATGATGATGTGTTGGTGTGAATGTCTTGATGTCTTGAAACTTGAAGCTTGGAACTTGTTGTCTTGAAGGCTTGAGGTCTTGAGTCTTGATGTAGAGTGAGTCAGAGTGGGAAGGGTCTTTAGGGCAGCGTGAAATCAGAACGTGAGGTCTGGTAATCGGTGGAAGTTTTGGTGGTTAGGTTCCCCGCCTGAGTATCAAGGCGATATTGGCGTGTTGGTGTTTGGTCTTGGTGGAGGTTGAGCCGCGCGGTGTGGTGGTCGACTCAGTCTGTTGTTTGGGAGTCGCCTAGTTGATGGCCGTGGCCGCGGTGGTGGTGGTTGAGTCTGTTGTTGTTGGTGTTGCAAAGGGATGTATGTCTTGATGCCCGCTTTTCACCACAGGTCCCCGGCCCCTTCTGTGAAAGGTGCAAAAGCTTACTCAACGAGAACTTTTTGAAACAGCCTTTCTCAAAGAATGAAAAAAATCATGTCGGGCCCAAAGGCTGACCTTGGGTCTGACCTGTGAAACCTTCACACAGGTCTTTTGGTCATCTTCCACTCTTTTCTGCTCTCTTCTCAAAGGTGTGAAACTGGTCGGTCAAAATTTCGCCCAACCCCTTATGTTTTCCTGAGAAAATGTAGCGCACATCTTTGACTCTTTCCTCCTATATCCAGTTTCAATACCTGATTCAATTCTTCTTGTGTTTCTTCATTTCTGGTGGTAGTGTAGGGGTTATTTTGAAGATTTTCTACCCAAATCTAATAACTTGTCAAGAATTGGAAAAGTCCAGTTTATCTAGCATCTATCCAAGGCCGTCCACCGGGGCGGGCTTTGAGGGTTGAAATCCCTGTTGCAAACTGGTTAACCAACTTCGATCACATATGGGAATGTCCACAAGAACACTTCTTCAAACACATCCGAGCACCTTTGATACTGCCCGCAATAGGGGGGCTCAAGTCAAAATACTTTACTACTTTTATCGTAAAAAACTTTTCCCAATTGTGTAAAATTTACGCAAAATTTTACAGCTATTCCAGGAATTTGTGTCGTGGTCGCACAAATTCATGGTCTTTTTCCCCCCAGCGCCACCGGCGAATACAGGCAGTGCGCAGCGCAGCACAGCTGTAACGGGGTGTGGACCTGTGTGGACTCGT